GGGCCAGCACGGAGCGGCCGGAGGAGCCGGAGCCGGTGGCAGAGGAGGGGTCCGCAGGCTTCTCTCCCCCCGACCCGCAGCCCACTCAGCGCTCCGAGCCGGAGCCGGGGGCGGCCGAGCAGCTCCTCCTGTCTCCCCCGGGCCCCCGGCAGCCCCCCGCCACCCCAGGCCCCCCAACTGTCCCCGGACACGGGGATGCTCCAGCAGCCCCCGGCGAGGAGGACGCCTCCGGGGAGGCCAAGAGGGAGGAGCCCCCCACGCCCCTCGGCTCGGCCACCCGCGGGCCCTGGCCGTCCCCCAGTGTCCCCCAGCCCGGGGGGACAGAGCCCGCCGGGTCCCCGAGCTCGGGGCTGCTCCTGGAGCCCTCCGCGGAGCCAGAGCTGGGGGGCCCGGGGGGGTCCCCGCTGCTGGATACCGACAGCGGCAGCGGGGAGGAGCCGGCGCTGGACGAGCGGGAGCTGCTGGCCTGGGTGGGCACCGGCAACGCCAGCGGGCACGGTGAGCTGCGGGCACCGGGGCTGGAGGCCGCGGGGAGAACGGGAGGGTTTGAGGCGGAGGTTTGGGCGGTGTCGCTCCTTTTATCCGAATTTCCTGGCCGGGAGCCGATGGGGTGGGAGCGGGGGTGGCACCGCGCCCCCCAGCCTGGCTCAGGGCAGCGCTGCCGCCCCGCAGCGCCGCCGGACCCGTGCCGGAACAACCCGTGCCTGCACGGCGGGACGAGCCGTGCCAACGGCACCGTGTGCGGCTGCAGCTGCGCCCCGGGCTTCACCGGCGAGAACTGCGAGATCGGTGAGTGCCCGGGCACCGCGCGGGGGTGGCACCGCCGCTCCGAGCTCAGCGCCGTGCCCCCTCCTCGCTCGCTGGCAGCGGAGGGCTCGGGGGTGGCGGCGGGCGGTGTCGCCGTGCCCGCAGCTCCCGGTGTCCCCGCAGACATCGACGACTGCCTGTCCAGCCCGTGCCAGAACGGCGGCACCTGCATCGACGAGGTCAATTCCTTCGTGTGCCTCTGCCTGCCCAGCTACGGCGGCAGCCGCTGCGAGAAAGGTGGGCACAGCCCCCGGTGTCCCCCCAGCCCGGCTGTGTCACCGCGGGGACCCTGCCCGGCCCCCGTGGCTTTGGCTGGGGCTGGAAGGGGACACAAATCCTGCCTGGTGGGTCCCCTGCCGTGCCGCCACTGTCGCCGCGTCCCCGCAGACACGGAGGGCTGTGACCACAACTGGCACAAGTTCCAGGGCCACTGCTACCGCTACTTCGCCCGCCGGCGCTCCTGGGAGGACGCGGAGCGCGACTGTCGCCGCCGGGCCGGGCACCTCACCAGCATCCACTCGCAGGAGGAGCACGCCTTCATCAACGGTGGGCCCCGGGGGTCCCCGGTCCCCCCTCGCCGGGTGCCGCTCGCCTCCTCCATGCGAGCCGCGGGTGCCTCTCCCCGCAGGCTTCGGCCACGAGAACACCTGGATCGGCCTCAACGACCGCATCGTGGAGCAGGACTTCCAGTGGACCGACAACACCGGCTTGGTGAGGGCTTCGGGGGCTCGGGGGGCTCGGGGTGCGGGGAGGGGGTGCGGAGGGTGTCACCCTCTCCGGTGGTCCCGCAGCAATACGAGAACTGGCGGGAGAACCAGCCCGACAACTTCTTCGCGGGCGGCGAGGACTGCGTGGTGCTCGTGTCCCACGAGATCGGCAAGTGGAACGACGTGCCCTGCAACTACAACCTGCCCTACATCTGCAAGAAAGGCACAGGTAGCGCCCGGCCGGCCTGCCCAGCCTGGCACGGCCTCACCCCGCGGCCCCCGGTGTCCCTGGGCACATCCCGCAATCCCTGGTGTCCCCATCCTGCAGTCCCTGGTGTCCCCATCCCGCAGGTCCCGGCATCCCTGGCCCCGTCCCGCAATACCCGGTGTCCCCATCCCACAATCCCCGGTGTCCCCATCCCACAATCCCCGGTGTCCCCATCCCGCAGTCCCCGGTGTCCCCATCCCGCAGTCTCCGGTGTCCCCATCCCTCAGTCCCCGGTGTCCCCATCCCTCAGTCCTCGGTGTCCCCATCCCGCAGTCCCCGGTGTCCCCATCCCTCAGTCCCTGGTGTCCCTGTCCCCACCCCGCAGTCCCCAGACCCCTCCCCATCCCCAGCCAACCTTTCCCAGCCCCTCTCCCGGACCAACTCCAGCAGTTCTCCCCTAAATCCCCATTTTTCTTCTTTCCCCGCCATCAGTCCTTCCCTCGGCCCTCGGCTTTGTTTAATTTGCTCCCATTAAACCCATTAAATTCCCATTCCTTACCTCTGGAAATTCCATTAACCTCCAGCTGCTCCTCCCCACCCCGCGCGCTAATGACGCCCCAATAAGGCCATTAATTAACCAATTAAACCCTGGGGACAGCTCGTTGCCACCCTGACTGACGATCCTCTCCCAAAGCCACCAGCGGTGTCCCCAGCGACGGGCTCCTGGCTGTCCCTTGTCCCCTCCCAGTAACTCCCAGTAACTCCCAGTAACAGGGGGGTGACGGAGCTCTGTGCCCCCCCCATCCCAGTGCTGTGCGGGCCCCCCCCGGAGGTGCCGAACGCTTTCCCGGTGGGGAAGAGGAAGGAGAAGTACAACATCCACTCCAGCGTGCGCTACCAGTGCCACGAGGGCTTCACCCAGCGCCACGTGCCCACCATCAAGTGCCACAGCACCGGCAAGTGGGACCGGCCCAAAATCCTCTGCACAAAACGTTAGTGGGGCGCTCGGGTTAAAGCGGGTGGGCGGGGGTCCGGGAGGCTGAGCTGACCCCCCCACCGCGTGCCCCTGCCTTGCCCCCCGTTAGCCAGGCGGTCGCACCGAGCGCGGCGGCACCGGCGGCACCGGCACAGCCACCCGCACCACCAGCACCACCACCACAAACCCCGCAAGGAGCGGCGAAAACACCGCCAGCACCTCCGGCTGGACTGGATGGAGGAGGGCCACTACTTCTAGAGCCGGGCGAGCACAAAGGGGGGCGTGGTGGCGTCCCCCGCCCCTGCCCCACACCCTCCCCGCCCCCCTTTTTTAGCCCCCTTTTGGCTTTAGCTCCTTAGGATGCCCGGCCCCGTAGGGAATAGGATCCGGAGGGGGCGGCTGCGTGTGCGTCCCCAGCCCTCCCTGCATGTCCCACGCTCAGCCCCCCGGCCCGGGCTGGAGCCCCCAGCCCCGCGCAGGGACCCCCCCAAGCTGGGCTCTGTCCCTGTCCCCAAATCGGGGGTGAATCAGGCAGCCCCCCCCCCGTCCCACCTGGGGTGGCTCTGGTTTTTTAGCAGCCTCCCCTCCCCATTTCCCTGCCCCAGCACCCCGGGGCGTCCCCGCGGTGGGGCGGGGGGGACACGGTGGCTGCGGGGCCACTGTCCCGCCCCGCGCCTGCTTTGGGGGTGCTCGGTTTGGTTCTGTCCCCTTTCCGTTCGTTTCGGGTCCCCGTTGGAGTTGGCGTGCGTGTGTGTGTGTGTACGGCGCTTTCCGACCTCTGCTGTTTGCGACGTGACTGCCGTGTCCCCACCCCCTCCCCGACCCTCTCCTGACGCCCCCTCCCCATTTCTGACTCTGCCTTTCTGTACTGCTGGACATTTTAATAAATTTTTTTAACAGTTGAGCGACCCGTTTCCTGGGGACATTGGGACGTGTCCCCTGCCCTGCGCCGCTCCCCAGCTGCCTCCTCTCACCGCCCCCGCTCCATTCCGAGCAGCCCCAAACTGTCCCCCAGGGTCCTCGGTGCCACATCCGCCACCTGCTCCCGGTGGTGGCCGTCCCCTGTGTCCTTGTCCCCCGCCAGCGCGGCCGCGGCGTCCCCCTGGAGATGGGGAGACGCCAATGGATTCTTTGGGGTGATTCCTGCCTAAAACATCCTCCATCAGCCGCCCCCGAGGTTCCCCCGGCCCCCCTGTCACCCACGGCCCCGCTGTCCCCTCCCAGGGCTGTGGCAGATATTTATTTCCAGTCATTAAAGGTGATTTGCGGGCTGTGCTCAGCTCCCGAGCCCCCTCCGAATCCGGGGGGCCCGTCCGTGCCGTGCCACCCCCGCCGTGCCCCGGGCTCGCTGCCAGCCCTGTGACACCGCGGGGTGGCTCCGCTGCCGCTCCTTGGACCCAGCCCCGATCGATCCCAGGGCTGGGATGTCCCGGGTGAGCCGGGAACGGCCCCGAGCCCCGATCCATCCCAGGGCTGGGATGTCCCGGGCCAGCCGGGAACGGCCCCGAGCCCCGATCCATCCCAGGGCTGGGATGTCCCGGGCCAGCCGGGAACGGCCCCGAGCCCCGATCCATCCCAGGGCTGGGATGTCCCGGGCCAGCTGGGAACGGCCCCGAGTTTCGATCCATCCCAGGGCTGGAATGTCCCGGGCCAGCCGGGAATGTCCCGAGCCCCCCCGGGCTGCCCCAAGGACACCGCGGAGCCGCGCTCAGCTCTCCAAAGCGGCCGAAGCTTTTATTTCATCTACGTCCAGGGCTGCCAAAGCCTGCGGCCGGTGCCCGGCCGGGTGGGCACAGCGGCCGCTGCCCCCCGGCCCCTCCCCGCTCCGGCCCCGGCCAAGCCAAGCGGGAGCTGCCCCGGGGGGCTGCGGGACCCCCCGTGCTGCCGAGGCACGAAGCCAAACCCGGTGCTCCCAGTCCTTGCCCAGCGCCACGGGGGGATTTTGGGGGGTTCTTGCGGCATCCTCACCGGGGACGCGGTGAGGATGAGGAGGGCGGGGGGCTCTGCGGCGCTTTAGCTCATGCAACAGGCGCGTGGAGAAGCGAGAGCTGCGAGGAGCGGGGGGCCAGCCCCGGGTGGGGGGCTCAGGCTCCTGGCTGGGCTCACCAAACCCGTCCCCTCCCGCTGCCCCGGTGTCCCCAAGCGCCACCGAGGGCCGCCAGCCCGCGCCGCCGCCACCTCCCCGTCCCTCGGCAGGGGCTGCCCGCAGCTCCCCGCACCGCGCGGGGCTCGGGGGGGTGCGGGGATGACGAAAGAGAGACCCCAAACCAAACCCGGCGGTGCTGCCGGACCACCCCGAGCCTCACACGCGTTTGGGGACCCCCGCTGCCACCACGGGCGGGGCTTCCCCGGCTTTTTTGAAGCAGTACACGCCGAAGAGCTTGTACTTCTTGTCGGGGAAGCCGAGGTTGCGCACGCCGGGCTCGCGGCCGCCGCAGCGGGCGCGGGGGTTGACGATGGGGTAGCGGATGCTGCCGTCCTCCAGCCAGCCCGCCTCGCAGCGGTCCAGCAGCTGCAGCTTCCAGGCCGCGTACAGCTGGCCCACCTTGGCCACGGCCGCGCCGTTGTTCTCGCACGCCTGCACGGCCTCCGGGTAGCTGAGCTTGCGGAAGGTTTTCAGGAAGTAAACTTTGCCTGGGAAAAAGGGGGGGTAAAGGGGAGGGAGAGTCCTCGGTGATGCGGGGTGGGTGCTCCCCAAAACTCCCGCTCTGGAGCACCCCAAGTGTCGCCCATGATTTTGTAAGACTTTGTTAAGCCTTCTGATGTTTACATTCTTTCAACAAACTTTCTCACACACAGTTCTGTAAATAACCTATGTTTTGCATTCTTTCATGGAGGTGGAGAGAGTTGATGGACCCTTGGTCTGTCCAGTGGCATTGGAGAGGTGGCACTGTCACCCTCCAATCCACTGTCGCCTTTGGAATACTATAAATGTTGGAGTCAGAAAATAAAGTTCTTTTTTTTTTTTGTTCCCCTCGAGAGCAGCAGTGTCTGCGTCATCATTTCGTGCCTTATCACAACACCCCAAGAGGCGTTTTTTGGGGGGATGGATGGAAGGCCTGGGGAGCCCCCAAAAGGTTTTGGGGAGGTTGGAGATATTGAGGGGTATCAGCACTGCGGAGTCTCCAAGGTGATTTTGGGGGCTGGAGGTGATGGAAGACCTGGGGAGCCCCCAAAAGGTTTTGGGGAGGTTGGAGAAGCTGGGGGGTGTCAGCACTGTGGAGCCCCCAAAATGTTTTGGGGGCTGGAGGTGATGGAATTCATGTGGAAGGTCCAAAACATTTCCTTAAACAAAAGAGGTTTTCGCTAAAATAAATAATTTTTTTTAAAAAGGATGAAAAAGAAGAGATTTTGGCTAAAACCAAGTGATCTTGGGTTAAAAAACAAAGAGGGTTTGGCTAAGAAAGGTTTTATATTAAAAAAAAATTGGATTAAAAAGAAATAGGTTTCGGCTAAAACCAAGAGGGTTTGGATTAAAAAAAGAGGTTTTGACTAATAAAGAAGAGGCTTTGGATTAAAAATAGAGGGTTTGGATTTAAAAAAAAAAAAAAAAAAAAAAAGGGGATTTGGATAAGAAAGAGGAGATTTTGGCTTAAAAAAAAAGGACTGGCTTTAAATAAAAAGAAAAAAATTTTGCTTAAACTCAGTGTTCCAACCCCAGCAGCGCTTCACCCTCCCCTCCCACCACCCCGAGGAGCACGGGGACCCTCCGTGCCTCAGTTTCCCCCTCACCGTTGAGGTTGGAGGTGAAGCAGAAGGCGTCGTAGTGCTCGCTCTCCTTGTGGCGGTAGCCGTAGTTGCGGACGCCCACCGGGGTGTCCTTGCGGCCGCACTGCTCGCGGGGCCGGGAGATCGGGTACTGCACGAAAAAAGAGGTTTTGGATAAGAAAGAGGAGATTTTGGCTTAAAAAAAAAAGGACTGGCTTTAAATAAAAAGAAAAAAATTTTGCTTAAACTCAGTGTTCCAACCCCAGCAGCGCTTCACCCTCCCCTCCCACCACCCCGAGGAGCACGGGGACCCTCCGTGCCTCAGTTTCCCCCTCACCGTTGAGGTTGGAGGTGAAGCAGAAGGCGTCGTAGTGCTCGCTCTCCTTGTGGCGGTAGCCGTAGTTGCGGACGCCCACCGGGGTGTCCTTGCGGCCGCACTGCTCGCGGGGCCGGGAGATCGGGTACTGCACGGAGCCGTCCTGCAGCCAGCCCGCGTTGCACCAGTCCAGCCCCTCCAGCCAGGCCTGGTGCAACTGGTCGTGCGAGGCCAGGATCCCGTCCTGCTGCAGGCACGCCTGCTGCGCCTCGTGGAAATTCAGCGTGTAGCGCCCCAGGCGAGGGTGGTACGGGAAAATCACCCCTGGTGAGGAGGGATTGGGGTTTGGGGTCGGTCACGGGGTTTGGAGGGTGAGGAGGGGGTTTTTGGTTGGGTGAATGGACTGGGAAATTCTGCTCGTGGTTCCTCTGCCAGGGGGTTTGGGAGTTCTGGGAATCCGTGACTCCAGGGGATTCTGCTCTGGGGTTTGGGAAAATGTGGGAGAATCGCCTGGAAGATCCCACTCATGGTCCCTCTGCAAGGAGGTTTGGGAGTTCTGGGAAACCCTGTCTCCAGGGGATTCTGCTCTGGGGTTTGGGAAAATGAGGATTCTGGTTGGAGGGAAAATGTGGGAGAATCGCCTGGAAAATCCCACTCATGGTCCCTCTGCAAGGAGTTCTGGGAGATCCGAGTTTTGGGACTGCAGGGAATTCCAAACTCCAGGGGATTCTGGGGTTTGGGGAAATGAGGATTCTGGTTGGGAGAATCGCCTGGAAAATCCCACTCATGGTCCCTCTGCAAGGAGTTCTGGGAGATCCGAGTTTTGGGACTGCAGGGAACGCCAAACTCCAGGAGATTCTGCCCTGGAGTTGGGGGAAATGGGAATTCTGGTTGGGAGAATCGCCCAGAAAATCTCGCATTGTCTCTCTGCAAGGAGGTTTGGGAGTTCTGGGTTTTGGGACTGCAGGGAACCCCAAACTCCAGGAGATTCTGCCCCGGAATTTGGGAACATCGCTGGTGTCTGCATGGGGTCCAGCCGAGCCCTGGCACCCTCAAACTGCGCCCTCCGAGCTCCCAAAAAAATCTGTTTCCCCCATTCCCACCCCCAAACTGCATCCCCCAACCCCTAAAAAGACTTTTCCCCCTTCCCCAACATCCCAGCACTGCCACCTCTGTCCCTCCTGGTTTCTGAGCCCCTGCCACCCCCAAACTGCGCCCTCTGAACCCCTAAAAAAGCATTTACCACATCCTGACCCCTAAAGAATCATTTTCCCTCTGCCACTCCCCTGTCCCGGCTGCTTTCCGAGCCCCTGCCACCCCCAAACTGCGCCCTCTGAACCCCTAAAAAGGCGTTTCCCGCTTTCCCAACATCCCAGCACTGCCACATCCCAGTCTCCGGTGCTTCCCACCCCCAAACTGCGCCCTCCGAACCCCTAAAAAAGCATTTACCACCTCCTGACCCCCTAAATAATCATTTTCCTTCTGCCACCCCCTGTCCCCGCTGCTTTCCGAGCTCCTGTCACCCCCAAACTGCGCCCTCTGAACCCCTAAAAAAGCTTTTACCCCTCTACCACCTCCTGACCCTCTAAAGAATCATTTTCCCTCTGCCACCCCCCGTCCCCGCCGCTTTCTGAGCCCCCAAACTGCGCCCTCCGAACCCCTAAAAAAGCTTTTACCCCCTCTACCACCTCCTGACCCCCTAAAGAATCATTTTCCCTCTGCCACCCCCCGTCCCCGCCGCTTTCCGAGCCCTCACCCCGCAACCCCTGCGAGCCACCACCGCAGACCCTCTCCACCAACAACACCCCGCGACAACCCCACAGCCCACAGTCCTTCTGCCACCCCCTGTCCCCGCTGCTTTCCGAGCTCCTGTCACCCCCAAACTGCGCCCTCTGAACCCCTAAAAAAGCTTTTACCCCTCTACCACCTCCTGACCCTCTAAAGAATCATTTTCCCTCTGCCACCCCCCGTCCCCGCCGCTTTCTGAGCCCCCAAACTGCGCCCTCCGACCCCTAAAAAAGCATTTACCACCTCCTGACCCCCTAAATAATCATTTTCCCTCTGCCACCCCCCGTCCCCGCCGCTTTCCGAGCCCTCACCCCGCAACCCCTGCGAGCCACCACCGCAGACCCTCTCCACCAACACCACCCCGCGACAACCCCACAGCCCACAGCGCCTGCGAACCCCGGCAATGCCACCCCGGGAAGGTCCCAAATCACCTTCCAGGTCCAGCTTGACCACGCCGGTGTCGTCCTCGAGCTCGTTGGTCACCTCGCACTCGTAGCGCCCGTAGTCCTGCAGGGTGACGTTGCGGATGATGAGGGACGCGTCGCCCACCCCGTCCTCCTGCAGCGCCGTGCGACCCCGGTAGGGCCCGAACGCCCTGCGGGCTTTGCCCAGAGCCACGAACACGTCCACGAAATCCATGGGCTCCGTCACTTTGGTCCACTTGAGGCGGATCTCGGCCGGGTCGTGCGCGGAGATGTCGTAGTGGTAGCGGCAGGGCAGGATGATGGTGCCGCCGCGGTGTGTCACCACCTTGCCCGGAGCTGTCTGCACCACCACGGCGCCGCTGTCACCCTCTGCGGGGGGACACGGGGTCAGGGAGGGGGCTGGCACCGCGCCGGGGCTGGCACAGGGGAGGGGTCAGGTGGCGGAGAGGGATGGGAGAGGTTTTTGGGTGGAGTTGCGCTCTTTTAGGGGCAAGGAAGGATGGGGGTGTGGGGTCACGCTTTGGGGGGGAATTCCTCTCTTTTGGGGGAAAAGGAGGATCGGGATGTGGGAGCATCTTTTGGGTTGAGTTCTCCTTTTTATGGGGTAAAGGAGGATGGGGATGTGGGGATATACTTATGGGGGAATTCCCTGCTTTTAGGGGCAAAGCAGGGTGGGGATGTGGGGTCACTCCTTGGGGGGAATTCCGCGCTTTTAGGGGCAAGGAAGGATGGGGTTGTGGGTTCATATTTGTGGGGGAATTCCCTGCTTTTAGGGGCAGAGCAGGATGCGGATGTGGGGTCACTCCTTGGCGGGAATTCCGCGCTTTTAGGGGCAGAGCAGGATGCGGATGTGGGGTCACTCTTTGGGGGGAATTCCCCGCTTTGAGGGGCAGAGCAGGATGCGGATGTGGGGTCACTCTTTGGGGGGAATTCCCCGCTTTTAGGGGCAGAGCAGGATGGGGCTGTGGGGCCACACTTTGGGTGCAATTCCCCTTTTTTCCAGCCCTCAGGAGCGCTCGGGATAACCCCTGGGATAACCCCGGGACAGTTCCCGCAGGGCTGGGGGTGCACAGGGGACACATCAGAGCCCTGGCTTTGCTTTGATGGCACTAAACCCGACACCCCAAAGGCTGCAGGCGCTTCCCCCGATCCCAAACCCATCCCAAAGCCACCCCAGACCCCGCCGGACCCCGGCCCCACTCACCCATCACATGAACCACCTTCTTCCTGCCGCGGGCGTTGGGCAGCGCCTCGGGGGCCGCCAAGGCTGCGAGGAGCAGCAGCGCAGCGGGGCCGGCGGCCCAGGGGCTTTGGGGACGCATCTGGGGGGCGACAGCAGCGCCCTGAGCACCCACAAACCCCCCGCGCCCGAGGGGATCCCCCGCTCTGCCCCCCAGGAGTGCCCAGCCCGAGGGGTGCCCGCACCGCTGCCACGCACCCCGTGCCCAAGCGGGGGTCGGAGGGGGCTGGGTGGGTCGCTGACCCCCAGGGGAGCCCCCCCAGCCCCGCAGGGACCCCCCGGCCCCGGCGCTGAGCTCGGCGTGCCCCGGGGCTTCCAGGCGGGGTGAAAATCCCGCGGCAGCCGCAGCGGGCCGGATCTCCCGAGTTATTTATGGCACCGCTGGAAACGGAACTGATGGGCACGGAGCGGGCAGCGGTGCCCCCCGAGACCCCCCGGCCGAGCCCCCTCCCCGAGGACAGCGCGGAGGGGCCGCGGGAGGAGCCTCCCCCTCCTCGGGGGGCTGCGAGGCTGAGCCCCTCTCTCTGGGGGTGCCCCAAATGCCAGCCTGGCCCTGGCTCTGCCCCCCTGGATGGGGGCAGGGCAGAGCCGCGGCCTCCCGGGGGTCCCGCTGCCCCATCGGGGGGCAGGGGGAGGTGGGCAGCCCCCCCGGTGGTCCCGGCGCCGTGTCCGTGGGCTCGGGTGCGGGGCAGCCGCTGCCCTGGCTCGGGGTCGGCTCGGGAGGCACAAAAAGCGGGGCAGCCCCCCCGGGGGTCCCGGTGCCCGATCGGGGGGCGGGGGGAGGCGCAGCCTCTCCCGGTGGTGCCGGTGCCAAGGCCGGGCTGAGGGCGAGCAGGGCAGCCCCGGTGCCCAGTGAGCGGGCAGATGGAGGGGGCACCCCCCGCACGGGGGTCCCGGTGCCCGGTGGGGGCAGGGGGAGTGGGAAACCCTCCCCGGGCGTTCCGGTGGGGGGTGCGGGGCCAGGAGGAGCGGGGCAGCCCCGCGGGGTCCCGGTGCCGCTCGGGGCAGCGGCTGCGGCGGTGGCGGCGCTCGGGGCCCGGTGCGGTGTTGCAGTGCGGGACACTGCGGCGGCAGCCCCGGGGCTGCGGGACTCCGGTGCCCGGGCGGGGACAGCGCAGCGCGGGGGGAGCCCCGCTCCTGCCGCCGCCGCCCCGCAGCGAGAGACCCCCGCCCGCCGCGTCCCTCCCGCTCCCGGGGGTCCCGTCCCGGTGCCCCGCGCCCGCTCCGCAGCGAGGGAGCGGCGGCCGCAGCCCCGCACTCACCGTGTGCCCGGTGCCGGCCCGCGGGAGGGGCCCGCCGGTACCTCCTCCGGTACCTCCTCCGGTACCTCCTCCGGTACCTCCTCCGGTACCTCCGCCGGTGCCGCCGCTGCGGCTCCGCGCAGAGGGCGACACCGGGAGCTCGGCGCTGCGCAGGACCGGCGGCTCGCCAAGGTCACCGGCCGGCCCGGTGCTCCCCGGAGCCCCCCGGCACCGCCGGGACACCCGGGCCGGGCTGCGCGCGGGGAACGCGCGGGGCACGGGGAAGCGGATCCGGTAAATCGCCGCCGCGGGCACCGCAAGGGCGGCTGTGCCCACCCAGCCCCCAGCCCGGGCACCCACCCAGCGGGTGCCACCCCAAAAACCCCGGTACCACCCCCCGCCCTGTGCCCAGACCCTGGCACCCGCAGGGACCCCCGGCCCAGCCCGTGCCCCGGGGGGGTCCGGGGGGCGCCGCTCCTGCCCCGGGGTCCCCCCTGCCCCGGGGGGACCGCGCTGGGCACAGCGGGCACACAGCGGGCTCCGAGCGAGCCTCGGCTCCTTTATTTTGTCACCAACGTCCCCTTGGGGCTGTCGCCACCCCCGAGCCCTCCCAGCCCCAGCCGGGGCACCGGGAGGGACCGGGACCCCCCGGGAGGGAGCGGGGCCACACACGGGCAGGGCTGTGACTGCAGCGATGTCCCCGCGGAGCTTTCGGGGGACATCCCCACAGCTTTGGGGGGACCGGAGAATCCCTAGGGACACCTCTGGGGACACCCCTGGGGAAATCCTTGGGGACACCCGTGGGGGCACTTCTGGGGACACCCCTGGGGACACCCCTAGGGACACCCCTAGGGACAATTCTGGGGACACCCCTGGGGGCACTTCTAGGGACACCCCTGGGGACAATTCTGGGGACACCCCTGGGGACACCTCTGGGGACATCGCTGGGGTCATCCCTGGGGACACCCCTGAGGACATCCCTGGGGACACCTTTGGGGACACCTCTGGGGACACCCCTGGGGACACTTCTGGGGACACCTCTGCTCCCAGCGCTCGGAGTGGGGCGGGATCCCCCGGGGAGGTGACAGCAGGACCCGGGGAGGTGACAGCAGCCCCGGCCTGGGGACAGCAGCCGCGGGGAGGTGACAGCAGCCCCGGCATGGGGACAGCAGCCCCGGGGCACCGGCAGGACCCGTCACTGGTGCTTTTTGGCGCGGGCCAGGCCCGGGCCGGCCCGGGGCAGGAAGAAGGCCGGGGAGCGCAGGCAGCGCAGCGCCAGCAGCTGCGGGCCCAGCGCGTACAGCACGTTGGAGAGAAGGAAAGTCCAGAGCACATCCTCGGGGGTCTGGTACGGGAACGGCGTGCGGGAGTGCAGCGAGGAGCCCAGGTGAGCGAACTGAGCCTGCGGACAGCGGGGTGGGGCGGGGGCGTGACAGGGGAGCGGCCCCAAAAAGGGCGAACCCCCCGGGCCAAAGGGTGCAAAGCCCCGGCGCTAAA